GTGTTGTTTTGCATATTATTTGGTGTCCATATCTTATTTGTCGAGAGAAAAGAAAATTTGGCTTTGTTAATTGGTCGGTGCCCGCCACGATCTCATAAACTCTCAAATGTGCCCGTAGGCACAAAAACGTTGCGGACCACTGATCTAGACATTATACGATAAAGCATGATAAAGAACCTCTTACAATTATAAAGTGCCCCAAAAATTTAGTATCGCAGGAAATTAAATTATTAAATAATCAGCAGCGTAAGATATGCGATTTCACACGGATGAAAAATATTATTATATTTGCATACGCATACATACAACCCCTAGTCTGTGTTCTGGATCTCACCCTCAACATCCATCCGCCGATCTGTCATGGTAAGACTCGACGCTTATTTAGTTGTGTGGGGTACAGTCAGGCCCCGTACATAATTCACAGATTTTGATTTGTTGCCAGGTGAAAATTTCAGAAAGTGGACGTACGTGGCCACGATACGGTTCACGTTATTATCAGAATCGCCAACATGCAGATACACGTTGACTGATAATCTCATATAAAAAAATACACAGGTCGATGCGAGCATTTTATCCGAGATACGTCACTGAAGAAATTAAACGTGTGGCCAAACATTTGAAAAAGATGCTGTAAGGTAATTTCCCCCTATTATGTACTCTGAAAAGTGAATTTCAGGGACAAAACTGTACATATACAAAAAGTTTCGTAACTTGCACGAAGGTTACAAGGAGACAAAACTGCTACCAATTTCCTATGATTCAACATTTCTGGGGCATCTATGCGCCGCTACGTTACGGACGACTTCCTAACATCTCACAGAAAATGCAAGTAAACATAACGACAATTAAATTTACTTTGGTTCAACTAAATTGTAATCGCTGTTTTGACATGTAATTGATTTTTAACTAATAACTGGGAACCACCAATTAGAATTTTCAAAATTAAACTACATATAGAAACAAGTGTTCATGGTTAAATTTCTGTGCGTAACTTCCGCACGGAGTCGGCAATAAACATCATCTCTGTTTTGGTATACAAAAATATGTGTGGTCATCCTACCGCTAACAAAATGCAACATTTATGTGCGTCATCAAGACAAATGAAGATGTAGCATCAAGTAAATAGAAAAGAAAAAAACATAAAAAAGATGAGTAATTATTAAGTGAATACGTTCATTTTCACTAGACAGTGTTGTATAAACAATCCTGCTATTGGCCCCTTTCCTCTATAGTCCCTGGCTTACGAAGAATGGTTACAGACCTCGTAACTCGTCGTCACAAGGGAATGGAAGTCGTGTCAGGTCGGGCGAGAGGTCGGATCTCTCGAAATAAAGATTTGCTTAAATGGTTCAAGAGTTATCTATGGCAAAACAAGTAACATCAAATAATTAACTAATATAGCGCCCTTTAAAAAACTGGAAGGTACGACAAAAAATAATAATCAATGTTTACAGAGAGCTAAAGAGGGAATCTTAGCATAACATTATGAAATAAATCAGTCAGCTCACTAATGTGGCTTTAACTGTGACTAATTAATTGAGCACTCTGGAAGGAATTAATATGCGGAGTAGTGCAAAGATGGCAAAAGGAATTTTTTTTTTCCTCCTGATGAAAGCCATGATTTAAATTTGATTTCCTAATGCACCACTAGATATTACTTTTTTTTTTTGGTTAAAATTATTATTACTTTAAACTAATCCGTGTTTTCTGTTCCTCCTGCGATTCTAAGTCTCGCGCACAGTTTCATAACCTCACTTCTGTAGTCCACAGTACACAAAAGAAAAAAAAATCATTACCTGAAAGAAAATCCAGATAAAGTGCAACAGTTTCTGAATCAGAAACTCAGAATCGTGGATTCATTAGTTCAACTTTGGACCTTGCATAAAAAATTCCAAAATACATTTTTTACTTTGGCTTTCCTCTGCCCCACTTAACCACTCTTCCCTTTCTAAAATAAATACATGATTCAACAAGAACATCAGAGTCATGTCACGATAAGTTTCAGCGTGAGCAGAAGCAAGTTTCATGAGTGGCGGTGGCAAGCGTCGATCAAAATAAACACAAAGCTCCCCCTGGTGGTAAAATTGTAATAATCGTCCCTGAGCTGCTATTTTCCAACATGAGTGGACACTCTTTATGCTGAACGTTGCCAGTCAAACACGGTGCTCGATGCCGATCGTCCGACGGCCGCGGGACTTCGTCCCTGCAGAGTTGTAGCAAATATACTGTACTTATTGTGATTTTTCAAGTCTTGACAGCGCATGGCCGACCCTCCGGGTACAAAAACACTCCTTCAACACTGAAGATTGATGTCTCTGTTAAAAAGAAAAGAAAAAAGAATATAGAACATCCTGTGAGAAAGTAATCATGTCAAATGACAATGCTATTGGAGATAGGAAGTGAAAATTTTAGTGATGCAAGTGATGACCTCACAGAAAATCTGTACAATGATCTATCATCACTTTATCATCACAGTTTATTCTCGTATTGCTGTTTTCTGTGAATAACGTAATAAATGACTTACCATCTGGTAATTCGTAGAGTTTGTGCGGTAGAGAAGAAAAGTAGCGATGCGTAAGCGCCTCCTCTGCCATTATCCTGTCATCTGCCTTGAGCTACGAGCAAATGCGTAATATCAGCAACACATAGTCAGAGACTTGGAAACTCTGAGGCAAGTCATAAAAGTATAAACACAAGAAAACCAATCAAATTACGGCAAATTTAAAAAAAAGTGTCATATATGCGACTGTAAGATGAAGTAGAGCATGAGACACACCCAGAATTTAGAGAGAGAATTTAGTGTAAAATATCTGCCACAACATCGGATGATGAGACACATAAATTGTATGGATCATTCAGAAATTTAATTTGCAATGAAACTTATATTCTTACGATTTCTGCTTTTAATATACTTCGACACACATTCAAAAACAACCTGTCATTCTTTGCTTCCACGCACTTGTCCACCATTAAGCGGCCCATCCACGTACAAGTCCGGCTCGGCTCGGGTTCCACTGAGCCAAACTCGACCATTACACATTCTCTACACACTTAATAATCCGTGGCATAAGAGCCCTCTGAGAGCCAAAGCCGACTAGCCTGACTGCTGGCCTCACGTTCACATGCCTAAGCTGAGGTGAATGATCATCCAACCAGATATAGGGTGACGTGTGGTCAGCACAACGAACCCCCAGCCATTGCTAGTTTTCATGACCGGATTACGCTACTCATTGTAGCTCCTCTGTCTCTTTGGATACTGCAAAGTGTAGTGATGTTTCAGAGGTCCTTGCTGACTACATCATCAGGGCAATAAGACTGATGATGGAGGCAACAAGGACCTCTGAAACTTCTACCAGACTACACGTCGCAAGGACCCAGGAGACGGCCGTCTAGAAACCTAACCTTACTTACTTGAAGTAATGCTGACGCCATATTTTCTCCTTCCACGACGTCATAAAGGCGAGGGAATGCCAAGCCTAGTTTCTGCGCTCGGTAGAAACCAAGTTTGTGCGGTTTGTAGCCGGGCAGATGCGTCACCCCGGACCAAGTCTCTTCTGTCGGAGTACCTAGAATCTGAGTATGTCCCACCACGTCAGTAATGACAGTAGCAAAATTGCATCTGCGTTAACGTAATGAGGACAAGCTTCCTACCTGCTGATCCCAACTGCTCTTCTACGCCACTTTTTGTGAAAGCCAGCGTACAGAGATTCTAAACCAGTACGCATGAGAATGTGCGTAACTAAGCACAGGAACTACTACACAAATCACATTTTTTAGCTCCGTCAGTTTCATGTATGACTAAGGAATGGATGACAAAGGTTTGCTATTACTGGGGCAAGTGATTCTGAACGATGAACCACCGTTAATCAATACCTGCTTTCGCAAACCCTAGTTTCTAGGATAACATTTACCTTAAATATTTTGTCGAGTTGATCGTACGTATCGCGCACACCTGGAAATGTTGGGACGCCGGTGATCATTTCAACAAAAATGCATCCTACGCCCCACATGTCTAGAGACGTCGAGTATTCAGTGCTCCCCAGCAGAACGTCCGGAGGACGATACCACAGCGTCACTACCTCATGCGAGTAGGTGTGTGAGGGTACAGACTTTGCTCTTGCTAGGCCTGGAAAAATAAGCGCGTTAAAATCAATCCAAAAATACACATTTTGTATGTTGATACATAAGTTAGGACAAGAGAGTAATATATTTTTTTGTCTGATTCTTTAAGGTCGTTGTTAGCGAGATCAGACGCACCAAGCAGAAAAAGCCTCTGCGGCACACGTAGCAGGACAGCTTCACTTTACAATCAGGTAACACTTTTAAATGAAACGGATGACTCTATGCTTGTTACTCGGTTTTAAATTTACCACTGCCATTTATTCCCACTACCTTTCAAAACCTTTCCCAGCAAGAGGTGCATGGATTCTTTCTAAAATCCATCTCATCCATTATCAAAAAAATCAGAGAGAACACAACATTTAATCTGTCTGTGGTGTAACAGCCCTCAGAGAGCCAAAACCTACTAGCGTGACTGCCGGCCTCACATTCACATGCCTAAGCAGAGGTGAACGATCATCCAACCAGATTTATGATGACGTGTGGTCAGCACGACAAACCCCCAGCCATTGCTAGTTTTCATGACCGGATTATGCTACTCATTGTAGCTCCCCAATTTCCTCACGATGCTGGGTTGGCACCGGTCCCAAACATGGTCGAAAGCTCATGAGAAAATTTCTTCTCCCCCGAGACTCGAACCGGCGCGGGACAGTCACACGACATAGGTTAGCCAGAAGACTTGAGCGTACCAAAGTCAGCGAGTTTGAGTTCCCCCATCTCACTGATGAGCAGGTTCTGTGGCTTTACGTCCCTGTGCAGAACTCTCCGCCGGTGACAATACGCCAGGCCTCGGAGGAGTTGGAACAGAAACAGCCTCACGTTACGATGCTCCAGACCCCCACTGTGCTTCTCCATGTACTGTGATAGATCAGTGTGCTGGAACACAAAAAGACATGCTCAGTCGCAGTAGACTCAGGTGTGGCTGAATTACAAGGAGCGTATTACAATTTTCCTCAGTATACCGAAGCAACTGCTAAGACAGCATTTTCAAATAGTGTAGGATCACCTACTTCCAAGTCCTAACTTATTCATTTTTTATGATAATATTTTCATTCCACTCTATATTCTTAAAACCCACTTTAATATTATCCTCTTATCATAATATAACAAATGGGAACTTAACTTAACAGGACTCAGAAGTCATACTGCTAAACCCACCTTTGAACCTGACCCTTTATTCAGCTTAATATACACGAGAATCAAGTTCTAGCTTATTCTGTAACAAAACACAGATGTGAAAAATGCCTAAGCTAGAAAATATTGATCAAACTTACTACATATTCAAAGACAAAGGTGAGCGTTTCTCGCGTGTGCACAATGTCATGCAGAGTGACGATGTTGGCATGTTTCAGTTCCTTGAGCAGTGACGCTTCACGAATGGCAGTGAAAGGGGCGCCTTCCTCCTCCTGAAGTCTTATCTCCTTTAAGGCCACCACTTGGTTAGTTAGGCTATAAAATTACATCACAGAATAAACATTTCAACCCTTAAGGACACGCATTAACTTCCAAACAGTTTCAAACATAACCTCACAATGTCGGGCCAAACGAAAAATACGTCGAGTTTAATGATAAAGTTAAATACAACTGTCACTTTCTGGCTGCCGGCTGGAACTGCATGACTCACCAGAAAGAATTACAATATTTTCATGATACAAGTCAAAGGAATAAAATAAAATTACCTATATTACAGCTGTTCATTCTGGGAGCTGGAAAGTGACGGCCGTGTTCAGCTTTATCAGTGAACACCCAGTATTTTGTTCATAGTTGAGTTTAAATGTTACTTCACTAAACTATACGCATTTATCAACTATAAGATTACGAGAACTTCAATATAATGTCTAAACTCTAAAATCAGATAACAGATAATAGATTCATGTTTCAGATAAACAAGATATTCTTACTTAAATAAATACAGTTATTACAATTTTTCCTGTAATCTGTAGTATTTATTACCAGATTAATACAACTTAAATTTAAGTTCATTTAAAATGGGTCGAAAGTCTCAGTCTAGGATTATACTTTATGATAATTATTAACGTAACTTTTTTTTAAGACTGAGAGTGGCATTTATTAAGTCACATGCATTTCGAGTTTTACTTTTCGATTTAATGCAAAGGAAGTCAGTCCAAAACATGAATTAAGTAAATTATCAACAAATAACTAAATATGCCGTAAATTAATAAATAATAAAATAAACATGTACTTTATGTCACAAACATAAAAAACCGATGAATTGGGTCACCGATAATTCAAGCTTAAACTAATGAATAAATTAATAAATGATAATGAAGATATAATGAACACTTCCATGAAGCCAACTTCACGTGTTTTACGAGAAAAAGAAAAGCAGATTTGTAAGCATAAACAAATTCCATTCTTCCTGATCCACACTTCTTCCACCCAGCTCCATTTCTTTCAGAACTGAGAAGAAATTTTATGTTCTTTGATGTGTGGTTTGCTTTCACCCCATAAACTCTTCCCCGCAACACATCTGTCTATATTCTGCTCAATTTGTCTTTCTTTCGGTGTCGTAAACTGAACAACAGTGGCGGAGTTCATTCTTTTGGTACGTGCCATTTGGTTCCATCTTGCGTTTTATTATTCTATCTTTAACAGAAAGCATTGACTTCTTGTGAACGATATCATTTTACTCCGGCACAACTAAAATTAAGCTGTCGTATTTCGGGTTTACGCTTTTACGTTAACTTAAAATTCAGTTTGTGGAATCCCACAAAGAGTTAATTTGAATTATCATGAGACGGAAATAAGGGATAATATTCACTGACGACGCTAAAAAAAATAAGTTATAGGGGAAAGATAAATTTCACAAAGTTATATACGCGTAATATACATAACACGTTCACAGCATAGAAAGGGTTAAGTCCCACAGTGAAGTCAGATTAAAATTATACTTGGTTCATGCTGGATGATGGTAATGACATAAAACAAATTCAGTAGTGTAAATAAAACCCATAAAACTGCACGTACGAGCAACACAACCTTTACTTACTTGCTATAACCTTTGAAAACAGTTGCGTAAGATCCCTCTCCCAGTTGCTCTAATTTGATATAAGCTTCAGACTTGCCAAATGGCGAGTCACCCTGCAACAAATAACACGAATAATTAATTTTCGGTTATGAATCAATAAAAGAGAGAGATTATTGATTCAAAAGCCTTGGAATAATGTAAGATTTAATACCAGCGCGTCCAGAATATTCATGACATTTTATTCTTACAGCTGTCCAACCTTTCACTACACGTACCACCTGTTTTAACATTCAATATTTCTGAAGACGCCCGCCATGGTTCAGGTGTCACGACCATTTTCAACATCATCCTATCAGTGGCTACCAAGGGGGCCAATTTTGCAAAAATTTCAGGGGGTGCACAGTTTTGCATTAAAAATTCTCCCACCAGGCAGTCTCAAAGGATTCAAAATGAAACTTGCCTCTGCAACTCTCGAATTCCAAGAATCTCCTTAGTAAAAACAGATGTGACGACATATAACTCGACCAGCTCTACCACTTATAACAAATTAGGAAGCGGAAACCATTATGGAAAACTAACAATATTCAACCAAAACCTTTTGCATGTTACAGGGGAAATCGTTCGAAGGTAAACTGAAATTCAGTGGGTGACCAAGCGAGGGCACAGGCCACCCACACGGTCGGCATGTATAGCGGGTACCCTATACTCAATGTGGATTATCTAGGATGGGCACAGACCACACCTGAAGGCAAACGCACGTTCATTAACCGTGAAGATGGTTAAGTGCTGAAAGAACAATGGGATCCCTCATGGGTGGGGCTGAATTGGGAATAGTTCTAGATGTCTGGATTACATGTACTGAACTAATAACATTATTGCAGTGTAGCTTTCACGATAGGCTGGTTGCGTATTAGGCCAAGTTTCAAACAAACAAGATAAACATCAAATGTTTAATCTTTGTCCTACATTAACCATCATTACTTCAATAACTGCTATTTCATACAGAAATTCATTCAAGTCTTGTTTACGTGATCATGTACGACTGACTACATGCTTATCATGGAAACTGAAGGTTCATTACAGTGCCTAATACTAAAGCCCAAACAGAAATCATATATGTGTCTGCAATACCAAATCCGAAATAAACTCATCATCATATGACAACTCTAACACGTTTTTAAGAAATTTACAAAATTAACTCTTCTTTTACACAAAGTCCAAATTCAACTAATATCATTTACAAAAAAGAAAGACTCTTTGTCCAAAACTAATAGCAAGCAACATAAAACAGGTCTGTAATAATCATCAAGAGCTAGAACGTTTATTTTAAAAGTTTCCTTACATTACATAATACAAACAAAAATAATTCAAGACCCTACAGTATGATGACGACATTGTTATTTTGGGTTGCAACGCCATGTAGTCTTGTAGATAGTTACGAACGTTTCGGAGAACATACTGTCTCCATATTCAGGAACGAACAGTCTACACGGCGTCACAACACAGTACAACATCGCCATCTTCAACGCAGTGAGAACTTCAAAATTTTCATACACAGTGTGACATTTGCAAAATCGATTTAAATAATCAACAAGGGTAACTTGGAATGCAAATTAGCAAAGAAAATAATTGCAAAATTATGTTTATTACACTGGAGAAAACATTTTCATCAAACATGGCTGAAGCACTGTGTTGTCTGGTACAGGTTTACCAACGTTTCAGAGGTCCATAGCTCATGGTTTCTCAAACACGCAAAGACGGTCTGTCCTCAGCAGGTGCTGCCGCCACCAACAAGTTATTCCGGTACCTTCTACAGGATTGCTTGGCCGGCTGGCCGGCCACCGCACTGGTTCCACTCGACCACCATGCTGCCTAATCACACAGCAACTTCAGTAGGACCACGTGGAACAAACACGTAATTCCCAAAGCATTAACTTGTATTATAACGTACACAGTTTCATGCTTCCTGGGAGAGAAAAGGAATTATGAAGAATAACTGCAGAGTGACCACTGTTTATTCTGAGAATCATACGAACACATAAATACAAAGTTGCGAAATATTCCACAATGTTAATGTTTTCTTAGAAATTCTACGATATTTAAATTACATTAGCAATTAAAAAATCTCCGATTATTCTCATAAATCCTACATTTTAAAGCCGATTTTTTTACACTTCTTATGCATGCTATACTTTAAAAATTACTCTACAAGTTTTAAAGTTTTTTTTTGTATTTTCCACAGTAATAGTTAAATACAAAAATAAAGCATTCCGATTATACAGGCTAAGCGGAGCAAGTTTCCACAGGCGTTCACAAACACCTGTTTTATGTGCGTGACATCTGGACACAGCGAGCGAGTCACAAGTTAGTAAGGAACCTTTTAAATATAGATCCCACGTTCCATGTCATTGCATTTAATCTCTGAAACACGCGCAGAGCCATCCTTCCCTTTGCCCAGTTCAATCATAACAATCACACCAGCTAAACCAAGATTTCAGGCCCCACAAACACAATTAAATACAAGTTAAGAAATTTCATAATAAATCCGTGTTTCAGTTTTAAATCTACCTAGCATGATCCTAATTTTTCAGCAACTTCAGTTAGCAACAGAGACATCTACTGGAAGAACCTTCCAACAATGTGAAAAGAAAAACGTATGTAGATTGCACTGTAATAAACACGTAAGCTTACACTTGTCACGTGACAGGAAGCATCTTCGCTGAGACAGTATAGGAAACATAAGGAGCAAAAATTACCAGAAGCAACCAAGTTTTATTATATCGAATCGTAACCTCAAATGCCAAATCGTTGTAGGTCTCGACTTTCGACTTACAATCTGTGAACTTCGTCGCAAACTTAGTAGCGAACTGTACATAATTTAAAATTAAAATGCCGTTTTATAATAATTTCTATGTGCAATCCGTTACCGGAAATATATTTTTTTTGGTTAATTTATAGCGATAATACACAGTTACTAGAATCAAATGAGAGATTAGCTCTTCGAAGTATGCAGTACAACATGGCGTCAACTTTGACGAGAGCCTAAAATGTTGCTTCAACGGTGACACCCGATCAATGTTTTATCGCTGACGGATATTAATTACGTCATGACAATAATTAACCCCACGAGGCAATTTCCCGAGACACCGAAAACAGACAAGGCCAATCACACTTCACAAAAACAGTCGACTGTACTACCGACTAGCATAGAACTACAACGATACTTCAGAGTATCTGGTGCGCGAAGACCCGGCTTCGAAAGTTGTTTATAGCCCATTGTTATTTTACACAGACGATCGGGGTTCGATTATCGTCATGAACAAAAATTTGTTACTCCTTATCACAGCGTCCAGACCGGTTCTGGGACCCAACCGGCCTCGTAACCAATGTATATATCGTGAGTAAATTGGCTTGGGGGTGAAGGTATACATGCCTCAACCATCTGCTTATCCTTAATTTAATCACCATAGCAACAACATTATTACTACAACAATTTTCTTGGGTCCAAATATTCTTCGATGCTGTTAATTCGAAATGACTACAACAAGACAGCTTACCACAGGGACGAGGGTAATCTAATGACCTATTTGGGGGACAAAAGTTAAATTTACACTTCACCCCAAGTGTGAAATGGGACAAGATGAATGGACAGTGCACTGAACTACACCAGATTAGTACGCATTAAGCTGGAACAGAAAATAGTTCCGAATGAAAAAAAAAACCTCTTTAAAATTTAATTTCCGATTTAGGCTTCGTCCACACGTTTTACAACATTATGGCACAGCAAGATATTCCCTTTATACCAGTAATCATTTGTTCTTGTGTTGAAATTCTAAGAGGAATTTTCTCTAAGTGAAACACTGGGTTCGTTTGTTTATGAAAAGCTCCGGCTGACTCAATAGACAAGGAGAACACCTAGATGGAACATGGGAGACGTAAATAATTACTCCAAAAAGAAAAGAAAAAAACTTGCCTCAACACTAGTTCTTTGCGTTTATAGTTTTAAGACTTCACTCGTCACATACACGAAAAACAGCCAAACGTTTTGAAGTATACAAAGAAAAGCATTAAGTTTAAAGCTACATAATCTTAGAATTAAAAAAAGAACATACAAGGGAAAGGTAAGAAAATTAAAAAATATTGGCTACTATCCATAAAAGAATATCTCTCGTTCAGCTTATAGTAAATGCAAAAGTCATCGTAAGGTCATTATGTAGATCTTAAAATAACTTTAAAATTAAGATTCTAACAGAAAAAAAATATGAAAATATAGGTAAACGAACTGCGAGACAACATTTTTATTCATACACGAAAAAATTAATTACAAGAACAGTTCAGAGAGGAGAATAAATTTATAACATTAAAGACAAAACTGATCACGGAATTCACAGAGAAAGGCAGACTTGAATAAAAGCCAGAGGCATCAAATGCCCCACCCAAGAATAACATTCAAAACTCTCCGTTATCAACAAATGAAGATCTCTGAGGACACCCTACAGTCCGTAAAAAAGACCACAATGCATCGCAATTAAAAATGGAAACCTGTCAGTCCAATGAAGAGTAAGTAAAATATGGCGTTATGTAAGTGGTCGTTAATAACATCCCGGCCTAAATAAAAATTGAAACATCAGACGAACGACGGGCGAAGCCTAAAACGGTCCACCTTACAAAAACAAAAAAAAAACAAAAAAAAACAAAAAAACAAAACAATAGGCTGTATGGCATAAAACACAGACCTCATTAAAATTTACAAGTTTTGTTTGCATCACGGCCACGAAACATATCGTACGAAGTGAACAGACAGCAATTTTCGTTTCTACGCCGAGCACCATCGCAAATGGTGTTGGTTCTGTCAGAAACAGGTCCGTTTCCAAAAACAAAAGAAAAACAAGCTTAATGGGAACTAAAAAATAACTAATAATGCTCTTCTAAAGCTTCATGGAAAGCAATTTTTTTTTTTTAAACTTTCCAGTGTATTGCTAATCAAGTCTAAGCGAAGCCGCCGCGGCGTTTGAAGTCTGCAGAGCCCCCCCCGAGCCTTTACGGTTTTCCGCAAAGTGGAATGTTCAGTAATACGTAATCACACGTAACGCGATCAAGAGGACAACAGACA